ATTAAAAAGAATGAACTAAACTAAAAGAAACTTACTTGATTAAAACTCAAAAAGAAACCATTATTAAGTAGTCTAGCATAATCTATTATTCTTATAGTAAAAAGTTAAGCGGTTTTATTAAAATATTATTATTATTTGAATTTTTTTTGTTAAAAAATGAAGAAGAAAAAAAAAAATCATTATAATATAAATATAATGATATAATAGAAAAGACCCTTGCAGACCCTAATGACGGTGTGTCAAGGTCAATACACCTCTTAAAAAAGAATTTGACTGTTTTATGAAATGTCAAGGCTAGTTCAAGTTGTAAAATGTCATGGGGTGCGACTCCCCCAAAAACGTAATGATATTTGTACAAGTATTTTTTTCCTTGAAAAATATGTCCAAAAACGTTTTTTATAAGATGTTTACACTCACACATATTCATGGAACATATGTTATTCCTTTTTAACTTGGTTACACCACATGACATTTTTAGAGTCATTACATGTAACCCTTTGTTGAAAATGTAACTTGGTATATTTGTTTTAACTAATTAAAAAATATATTTTTCATTGTCCTCATATTCATATTTTTCACTGACCCGAGTACCTGAGGGCCTGTTTACACCTGGTCACTTCATGCGTTTTTTCTGATCGGATAGCTATCCGATCGTGAAAAGACCAGGATGTTCGAGACGGATATAAATCCGATCACTCAAACCACTTCAGGAAGTGGTCTGGGCCGCATTCCAGACGAAACTCGACAAGTGTAAATGCATCTGGTTATTGAAACCACATATGTACATTTTACTCCTCCCAAAATATTAAAATAATAAACGTGTGAGAGCGTGTTATAGGCTATATGACATTAGTCAGACTGCGCTAATGCAACACGCATCGCTGCGGACGAGTAGCTGAGTATCTCTTCAGCAAGCCGACGCGCAAACTGCCGCGAATGAAACTGAAATTAAATTTAAATATAGCGCGGGAATTGAAGATCGGATTTATATCCGTTTTGCGACGACACATTTATGTGGCCAAGTGTAAATGGAAACGGTTTAACAAATCGGATAGATATCCGACCAGCGAAAACGCATGAAATGACCAGGTGTAAACAGGCCCTCAGTGACTGGTGACTAATGTGTAACATGCAACCAGATGCTAAAATTAATTTACAGAGTCAAGTGAGCCGTTTGAATCAGCAACCTCCATATTGTCAGACTCTGTTCCATGTTTTGTCTGTGTCTTGCTCCCCAGGTGTTCCTTTCCCATGTTTAATTTGTCCCAGGTGTTCCCCATGATGGTTCATGGATCCCAGGTGTGTCTCGTCATCCCCTCCTCCTGTGTGTATTTAAAGTGTTCCCAGTCCCTAGTTCTCTGTCCGCTGTTGAACGTCTTCGTGTAAACGTCTTCCTGAGTTCGTCTCCCTTGGTTCCTGTAAATAAAGTCTTGTCAACATATTCTCCAGCGTCTCCTCGTCCCTCGTGTGTGTGCAACGTGACACATATATCACCTGATTCAGTTTATAAGTAGCCAGAATACTAGCAGAAAGTGTACACCCATTGTCACATGTGATTTTGTTAGTAGAGCATTTGGTCTCAAATGTTTATACTTAAAGAGAAACCTCAGAGTGTCTGTAATAGTAGCTAGAAAATAAGTCCCGAGGTCAAGGATGAATGCATTTGTGTTCCCATTCATACCTAACTTCCTCCTGTCTCTGGTTTTAGCCCAGTGCGAAAACAACACAGACCCTAACTCCGACTGCCGTCTTTCCTGAAGAGAATGAGTTTTTCCAGGAACCCCGAAGAGAGGATTGTTCCCACCTGCAATGTGTAAGTCTTCATCCTACTGTAATGATCGACAACTCAGTTGAAACAAAATGTAACAACATATAGGTAAGTAAATGATGACAGAATTGTCAATTTTGTGTGACTTTAATAAAGATAATTAGTCAGGGATCGTAATACTGTCATATTAACACAAATATACTGGATGATGATTTTTAACATTATTGTGACAGCTGTGTTCATCAAAAGAAAACAATAGAATATTTTCAGTTTCTCACTTTTACCTTTGTCTCTCAACACAGAGAAATTATGTCATGGAGAAGGATTTCATCAGAAGAGATTTTTTTGAAAAGTGCAACAGACACCATAAACAAAGGATTAGCAATACAAACAATAGACTTTCACTGTCTGTTTTGCTTCTGCCATTAAAGGTGTATGTCATGTGCTAATTACGTCTGGCGTACTGAAAAAGCGGGAGCAACAGTCAGTCCTGGACAAGGTTGTTTAAACAAATCCAATCCCCTCCATGTGCTTCTGCGACTGCATTTTCCACTTGAATAGCCACAAGTCCGAATCCTGCTCCTCCATCTGAGGGGAACTTCTCATTAGATATTCCACCCTTAATCCGTCCCAGCTGCTGAGGCCAGGTTTGCTTCAGCTGTCCCGAGAGACAGAGGGTCCCAGATGCGAAACAAGACTTTCAGAACAGATGGCATCTTGTGAAAGATTCTGATCACCCCCACATCTCAAATGGACTCTTTTAAGTTATTTTAAGCTTTGTCATTTATATAACTTATAAATTATTGTAAATTAAAAAATCTGATTGCTAAATGTTGTTGGTTTCTTTTTAAATAGTACATCATGACGTCCTGTTTTACATGCCTATCTAGAGCAGAGGGGGTTCAAACTTTTTGATACAAAGACCCCGAATATGACATTCCCCTTCTGAGGGATCTCTGTTTCCAAAGAAAAAATAATCAACTTTTTTTATATTATCATTGTGCTTTAAAAAGAATAAAATAAATGCAATACCGTGACTTTTACTAGTCTTTTACTAGGCAAATGAAAAATTATATATGAAATTAAATGTTGAAATGTTAAAAAAAATATTGCATTACAAATTAATGCCAAATTAAAAACATAAGTATATTCCATACTGTTGGCATATTCACTGTAGTGTGTCTGCAACTGACCAAAAAAACACAACAAATGCAATCACTCAGCCGTGTCAATGGATTATACATGCTTTTCATTAAACATATGTCATCTTTTATGTATAATTTCTGAAAGAGTTTACCAAGGGTTCTTATACTACATTGGCAAATACAGAGTCTTACAGAGAGAAAATACAGAGAGAGAGAAAAAATCAAAACATTTAAAGAGAATTCTTGACGTGAATTCTTGGAACATGAAACAATGATATGTTTATGTTTCCTCAGAAGGCTTTGCAAGCAAATAACACAACCAAAACAAAGATGTAAAGTGATTATAAAGCTTTGTTATCATGTTTCACAACACATTCTTCTACTACAGAAATATCCAAGCACTATCTGATTGCTAAATGTTGTTGGTTTCTTTTTAAATAGTACATCATGACGTCCTGTTTTACATGCCTATCTAGAGCAGAGGGGGTTCAAACTTTTTGATACAAAGACCCCGAATATGACATTCCCCTTCTGAGGGATCTCTGTTTCCAAAGAAAAAATAATCAACTTTTTTTATATTATCATTGTGCTTTAAAAAGAATAAAATAAATGCAATACCGTGACTTTTACTAGTCTTTTACTAGGCAAATGAAAAATTATATATGAAATTAAATGTTGAAATGTTAAAAAAAATATTGCATTACAAATTAATGCCAAATTAAAAACATAAGTATATTCCATACTGTTGGCATATTCACTGTAGTGTGTCTGCAACTGACCAAAAAAACACAACAAATGCAATCACTCAGCCGTGTCAATGGATTATACATGCTTTTCATTAAACATATGTCATCTTTTATGTATAATTTCTGAAAGAGTTTACCAAGGGTTCTTATACTACATTGGCAAATACAGAGTCTTACAGAGAGAAAATACAGAGAGAGAGAAAAAATCAAAACATTTAAAGAGAATTCTTGACGTGAATTCTTGGAACATGAAACAATGATATGTTTATGTTTCCTCAGAAGGCTTCGCAAGCAAATAACACAACCAAAACAAAGATGTAAAGTGATTATAAAGCTTTGTTATGTTTCACAACACATTCTTCTACTACAGAAATATCCAAGCACTATCAAATGACTATCCATGAGTCAATTCATCAGTCTCTGTCTGTGCTGCTGCTTTACAGGCCTCATAAATATAATGTAAGTCAAAGAGACAACTGCTGATTTATGATTCTCATTGATGGTTGATCAGAAGCCAAACAGAAAATTTACTCACAGTTTCAGTAAAGAGTGTGAACTAGTTTCACCTACACCTATGCAAACCTGTTTAGAGAGAAACGGTGGATTAAGCTTTGACCTGTTTTGACAAGTCTTGCAAAGCTTTCACGTGTAAAATTATACTGCTTAATTTGTCAGTTATAACTTAAAGCTGTTTCCTGAGGTTTACAACCTCTTGAGAAGACAACCTAATAAACACTAACAGCCTGTATAGATATAATAGTTTACATTACAAAGTCAAGAAATAATACTGTATGAAAACAACTAGGATAAAAAAATTTATATATATATATATTAGGTCCTTATGCTCACTAAGGCTGCATTTATTTGATCAAATATACAGTAAAAACAGTCATTTTGTAAAATGCTATTACGTTTTTAAAATACCTAATTCTATTTTATGTATTTAAAAATAGAATTTATTCCTGTGACGGCAAAGCTGAATTTTCAGCAGCTATTACTCCAGACTTCGGTGTCACATGATCCTTCAGAAATCATTCTAATATGGAATAATACTTAATTCTATTTTTAAATTATAATATAGATTAATTCAATTCTATTAACATTCTAATAATCCACATTTCTATCTAAAATGGTATAATTCTATTTTAGATTACATTTACATTGTAATATTTCACAATATTAGTGTTTTACTGTATTTTTCATCAAATAAATGCTGATCATAAGAGACTAAAATATATTTTTTAAATATTAATTCTTATTCCAAACTTTGACCAGTTATACATGAGAAAAGCATAAGAAAAATGAGAGTGGTCAATATTCATTTTTTGGTAATAAGACACTTTTATTGATTTTACTGATTTGGACCGACATGCTAGATTTCTATACAGTGTGAATGGTAAAGCTAGCTCTGAATCAATCAGGCTGGCTGAGCTAAAACATATACACAGGGAATGGTTGCACCCTTAAAAGCATAACTCATTTACGCACAGACATTCTCCCAAGGCTGATGTAGCGTTGTGTCAATCACAATGACTACCGGTATAGTACAGGTGATAGTACACTGATGACATGATTCCATACACAGGGCGTATCTACACCCCATTAAATTCAAATGAGAACCTCTTTTCAGAAGATAATAAGTGAAGAAAACTAAATGTAAACAAAACCAATAAATACTCCCATCAAGCTTTCATTAAGTGACATCTTTCTGAACCTCTCTGTGATGTGAGAAAGCACTGGCACAGACAAATCTGATTTTCCCTTTAAGTTTCCAAACTATCCAAAATCAGGAAGCAAATGAAGGGTTTTACTGTCAAACAATTACAGTGTAGTTCACCTTCCATTCCAACTAAATGCTGCTGGATTTAATAGGGAAAAAGTGGCATTTCACTTGGATTCTGGCGCTAATGTTATGTGCTCCTACTCACTTCCTCAACATCACAGATAGCTAGTTTTGACTTGTTTCTGCGTTATGTGAAGCAACTTTACAAATAGTATATCTGTACAGTGACCCTCGAGCGATTTTCACAGAGATGTACGCTACAGTTTGAACTCTAAAGTGGTTTCAAGGACAGACATTTGACAGCAATTTTGAAACATTTACATCTTCCTTTCTTGAAAAAGTGCATTAAGGATTCACATGAAATACATTTCAAATAAACTGATGTACTACACAATGTGTGTCCCCCTGGTCAGTGCACTACAATTTACTGGCCCAAAGAGCAGGTGTAGACATGAGTGGGTTCCTACACAAGGCAAACACAATAATGCTGCATAATGCTAATTATGAAAATTGAACTATAGTTATTTTTGGAGGAATGTCCCATCTTTGCATTTCTGATATTAAAGCCTGTTTGAAAATGACAGCTGATATATTTACAATAGAACTGGACTGTTTGAAGAATCAGTGTGGAAACTGCTAGTGTGCAAAGGAATTATTCCAATCAATTAAATATGAATGACCAAGTTTAGATGCATGATTTGCTCCTCAGTCACGTTCATAGTCTTCATAGAGACTATCTGCAATACGCTAAATGCCCTAATTAAGTTAAAGAATAAGAAACATTCCACAGAAGAAACAGAATCCTTTCATGTTATCAGGTTGTTTGCACAAGTGGTTTGCTTTCACTGTGAACAGGAAATAATAAAGAAAAAATATGCTGTAAACATTCAATAAACCGTGTAACTAAGACATGAACTGTACATAAACAGATTTTTTAAAAATCACACATAATGTGGAAAGGTTTTAAGGGATCTGTAATGACACACTTACACAAACTCACTTAAAGACCTGGCCTGAAACTTAAAATTTCAAGTTCCGTCACAGCAAGAAAAAAAAAAAGAGGCTAAAATAAGTTGATTTCATGAAGTGCATTAAAAACATACACATTCACATAATCTTGTGCACAGTAGCCAGCTGGATTGAGATGCTTTTAAAAATGGCTAACATGCATGTTTGCCATATTTCGTTGGTTATTTGTTGTTTGAATTGCCCTCTTGCTTTTGAAATCCTGATTTGTACAGCAAAATTATAGAATTTATTGTCTGCATCTGTTTTAGTGCTCATCCTTGTATACAAAAATACAAAACAAAGAAAAAAAATCTGCCTCTCTACATTTTCAAAAAGTATATATGCTGGACATAGTCTACATTTTTGTTGATTTTTGCCCTTTACTTTTCAAATTTTTAGGATTTTTTGGCAATTTTGTTACTAAAGTATACTATTTTACAACTGAAATTGACGTAACACTGATTCCAACCAGTTACTAAAAGTCAGATGGGAAGGCCAAATATCCATTCTGAAAACACAACTGGAAGCTAACCAAGAGGAAGCAACACAACAAGCATGTGGTGTAGATGATGCTGTAAATCAGATGTGAGCTATTAACAGGAACATCCGCCCTCAGTAGTTGGAGGCTCCTGTGGTTTGTCCAATTTTATGTCAATCACTAGAGAATGCTGTTAAGGAATAAAAACTTCAGTACATCAAGAACTTACATCAAACAATGAATATAAATGTAAAAGGTGAAAAGAATCCAACAATAAGCAAAGAGGGAATTTTTTTTTTTTTTTTTGTGGGAGACTGGCTATAGTTAAGACCTATATGATCAGTAATGCTTTATTTTAAATTAATATGTATATTTAACATTAAATGTAATGATAATTTATAAAATGAATATGAAGCAGGAACCTAACTTTATGTTTGTATAACTCAAAAAGTAAGCCTTAGCCCTCTCCCGGCATTAGGAGTAATTGCAGCCATAAATGCTGAAGTATTGAATATTTATTGCATCTTTATATCTACAAAAGGCTTTATACACAGCATAACATAAAGAAAACATTGTTTTGCCTATATTAGCAGATAAGAGCTGAATATTTTGATAGCACACTTACATTTTTCATTTTATTTATTGTATCCTGACGTCTGCCAGCAAAAGGGAATGTGCGCCATCTAGTGGTCATCATCCGAAATAATGCTTGTAGCTTTCCTTGCCAACATAAAATAACCTCATTCAAATGAACGGTAACTGGTGTCCCTGAGAGGCGTGTGTGTTTAGTGGGGCTTTTATGCTTGTTCAGTCATACCAGCTGCTCCGACTCTCATAATGGGCTCATGTTTTCATTCATGAACAAATGTTGAAGTAGTGAGAGGTGCGATGTGTGCGTGTGTAGTTTGTTTTTATGGCGTCCGCGTAAAATGATTTGTTTATTAATTAAGTTCACTAAATCAGTCACATTAAGCCTCATTCATACTTATAATATAAAACCAAATCAGAGCTTCGTAAACTCAGTGAAGACAGATCATAACCTTGGCTGAGCTGAGAGCTTTCTGACTTTTCCACAAACTATAGAGACATGTTGTGATACTTTGCTTCTGTCATCTAATAAAGGTTTTTTTTTCCCCGACACCACAGTCCGTGTGTTCAAAATGCGTTAAAGGCTCGCTATTTAAACTGGACTCTACCACTGATTTATATAATTCAGTGGGCCTCCCAAAGCGCAATAAAGATACTGTATGAATATTAATTGGGTCACACAGACGCTGTAACCTCCCGAGAGCAAGTAACCTTATACATATTCATGACTTTCCCCATAGTAGGTCTCGTTACTTTGCGAATTAATTAGCACACACCCCAATCCGTTTCAGCCAATAAGATCAAAACGTCACATCTTCACTTAATTAATATTCATGGTAAAAGACTTCATACGTGTGTTGTGACACATTAAAGGGATAATGTTCACCCCAAAATGAAAATTCTGTCATCAATTGCTCACCCTCATGTCTTTCCAATCCCATTGGTTTTTGTTTGGATACTGGATTTAAAGTGCCCCTATTATGGATTTTTGAAAATTACCTTTCATGCAGTGTGTAACACAGCTCTAAGTGAATGAAAAGATATCCTGCAAAGTTTTAAATCTGAAAGTGTACGGTGTA